AGGCATTGAAATAACAGCTGGGGTGGCAGGGTTTGCATCACGCAGACTGCATCGTAAGGCATTGAAACACGATGAAATCAGGGTTCTGGCCGAAGCAAAGCTGAACACGGTAAGTAAGCGTATTTCCACGGCACTCACTGACAGTAAGATCTCAGAGGAGGAGTTTCGTTCAATCCTCTCTGAACTCACAAAATATAACAAAATGAAACAAGAGATTCGATCCAAGTCTCGTAAGTCTGCTATCAGCGAAGACGAGAAAAAAAAGTACATAGAACAGGGGGTACGAAAAGCCCAGCAAGCTTTTATTACGAACACCAAAGAGATCATAGGCGATTCACATTAAACTGTTTCATCGAGGTCAACGCGACATAGCGGCACAGTAGTGCCAGGTGGGGCCGGGGAGTTAACTGGGGGTTCAAAAGTAGTAGATACAATGGTGGCGAGATCTAAGGGCCTAACAAAAGCTTTATTTGTGAAATAAGGCTTTGCAGAGGCTTTTGTTGGACTTGATCCCGGACCATCATTATATATACTACTATACAATATGAAATATAATTCTGGGAAGATGTATAACAACTCAATTCATTAAGCAACAAATTACACCCAACACCTTGCCTGAAGAAATAATAATAATAATAACTTTGGATTTATATAGCACTAGTACCCAGTGATTGCTGCTCAAAAGCGCTTCTAGGAGTTCTACATTGACTGGAGTCTATTCCAACGCATCTCTCGTGAACATATATGTCTCAAGATGTTTCTGGAAAGTGGCAACATCTTGAATGTTTCTAATGTCAATGGGGAGGCTGTTCCACAGATTAGGTGCAGCTGCTGCAAAGGACCTATCTCCATACGATGATTTGCGAGATGATGGCACACAGAGCAGATTCTGATCACCCGAACGAAGAGTTCTTGATGGTCTGTAGCTGGTTATGAGACTTTGCAAATACTGTGGTGCAAGACCATGCGTTGCTTTAAACACAAGGAGGATGATCTTGTACTGAATCCTACTGGATACAGGCAACCAATGTTATCAAATTTTCTTGTCCTTGTAATGAGTCTTGAGGCTGAATTTTGAGCAAGCTGTAACTTGTTTACTAGACGTTTAGGGAGACCAAACAGAAAAGCGTTACTATAGTCCATGTGTTATAGGACACCTGACTTGACTAATGTTGCTGCAGTTTTGTTATCGATGTATTTCCTGATCTGGCTGATATTTCTGATACTGAGGTAAGCCTTCTGGCAGACTTTGTTGATATGGGACTCATAGCTGAGGGTTGAGTCAAACATAACTCCAAGATTCCTCACTTCTTTACTTGGCATGATGTGACATCCTCCAATATTCAGTGTTGGGAGACTGATTTGATATTGTACTGATTTTGCACTTATCACCAGTAGTTCAGTCTTGTCTCTATTCAGCTTCAAGAAGTTGAAAGTCATCCAGGTGTTAATGTCATCAACACAGTCAGTTATATAAGCAAGGGCTCTCTTAGTTGACAGTTCTTCTCTTGGTTTGAATGCCAAATATAACTGTGTATCATCTGCGTAGAAATGGGCAGATAACTCATGGGATCTAGCAATATCACCCAGAGGTGAAGTGTATATTGTAAATAACAGGGGCCCGAGAACAGAACCTTGAGGGACGCCGTATTTGAGTTGCACTTTTTGTAAAAGACAGTTATTGATCTTTACTGCTTGATATCTTCCTGTGAGATATGATTGCAGCCTGGAATAAGCACTTGAAGTTACACCAAACCTGTGCTTCAATCGCTCCATTAGAACTGACTGGTCGATAGTGTCAAATGCCGCGGAGAGGTCAAGCAACACTAGAATCGCTGTTCCTCCTTTGTCTATGGATTGCAAAATATCATTTTGGACTCGCACAAGAGCAGTCTCTGTGCTATGAAAGCGCCTGTACGCAGACTGCATGATCTCAGCATTGCCAGTCATAAGAACATGATCACTTAGTCGTGCAGCAACAATCCTTTCAAGCACCTTTGAAATGAATGTCAAGTTTGACACTGGTCTGTAATTCTGAAGTAAGTCTGCATCGAGTTGAGACTTCTTGATGACTGGAGAAACAATAGCAAACTTCAAGTCTTTAGGAACAATTGCATTTGATAGAGAGTCATTGATGATGTGCGTGATAACTGGCACAACTTCATCCAAGCACTCCTTGAGTAACCATGTGGGTAGGGGATCCAACATACAAATTTGGTTGGACTCTTTTAAGATGATACGTCGAACCTCAGTATATGTCGTTGAGGTAAAACAAGACAGTTCTTGAGGGATGTTCAACGTGTTAGCAAACTGGATGAAAGTTGGGATGCTAGATCTCACACTTTCCAGGTTATCACGGATAAGTTCTATCTTCCGAGAGAAGAAATCAGAAAAAGATTCAGCCATGTCCACCTCATCCGAAAAATTTGGAAGATTGCTTTTTTCTTTTCTTTGAATAGCAGTCTATTCGATATCTGGTACACCTCTTCTGATCTTTGGCATTATGAATGATGTCATTGAAATACTGTTGTTTTGCTTTTTCTATCAGACTCGTGACATCGTTTCTGGCGGATGCATGCATCAGTTGATGAACTGTCAGATTGGAGGCCCTCATTTTTCTCTCATATTATCGTCGAAGATGCTTGGCTTTACAAATATCCTCACCATACCATGCTTCTCGTTTGTGGAGTCACTAATCTTTTCCTTAAAGGTGCATGTTTGTCAACAACCTTTTGTAACTTAGAGTTGTAAAACTCCACACAGTTCTCCGCTCTGTAACTACTGTGGTACTTCATTTCGTCTGCAAGGTCATTTCTAAAACTGGTCAGATTAACCTTCTTCCATTGGCGGAAAGATAATTCACTCCGTGTCCTCATTGGGATACTAAAGTTAGCAGTTGCTAATATAGCAAAATGATCAGACATGGAGGAGTGGTCAAGGGTAATGTTCCTGATTTCAAGTTCATTGGCTCTCGTAATGACTAGGTCCAATGTGTGCTTGTTGACATGAGTTGGTTCAGTAAAGTGTTGAACTAAACCATACAAGTCAAGCAGACTCAGGAATCTGGCACTGTCTTGTTGGTTCATATCCTCCATATGGAAATTAAAATCACCGCAGATGAGAGGAATTCCAGGGACATTGTTAATAGTTTCCAAGAATAAAGTGAACTCTTCTAGAAAACACCCAGGATGTTGTCTGTCCGCAGACAACAGAATCTTGCCTGGTGGTCTGTAGACACCAGACACAATCACAGTGTGATGTTTTGATGATAGTTTAACAGTGAGCTCTTCGAACGACGTATTATTACATCCAGTTTTAAGCCTTGTACAGCGAACAGTGTCTTTGAAAATTATTGCCACTCCTCCTCCACGCTTCTTTATCCTGGGAGCATGAATGATTTTAAAGCCAGGTGGGGTAATCTTGTTCAGGATAAGACTGTCAACCTCTCCTGCATGAAACCATGTTTCAGTAATGATTAGAATATCCAGTTTAATACTAGCATAAAACTAGTGTAAATACAAGCCTTGATTACAGCAATAATTCATTCTTTAAAAACCACGGGTCCATCCCATTTTCCTAAAATTACCCTATATAATATCCCTGAAACTAAATATTATACTTTATTCCACCCAATCACATATGCCTACGTCTATCCTACTACTTCTATTACAAACTAACAATAACCTATCCTAAATGCTTCATTGTGGGAGGGGGTCAGCTGTTTCATCCCGAAACAAGAGCTGGTCCATCTCATAACAAGTACTGCTTTATCTCAAAACAAGCAGGACACTGTTTCATCCCGAAACAAGAGCTGGTCCATCTCATAACAAGTACTGCTTTATCTCAAAACAAGCAGGACACTGTTTCATCATCCTGAAACAAGAGCTGGTCCATCTCATAACAAGTACTGCTTTATCTCAAAACAAGCAGGACACTGTTTCATCCCGAAACAAGAGCTGGTCCATCTCATAACAAGTACTGCTTTATCTCAAAACAAGCAGGACACTGTTTCATCACGAAACAAGAGCTGGTCCATCTCATAACAAGTACTGCTTTATCTCAAAACAAGCGGGACACTGTTTCATCCCGAAACAAGAGCTGGTCCATCTCATAACAAGTACTGCTTTATCTCAAAACAAGCGGGACACTGTTTCATCATGAAACAAGAGCTGGTCCATCTCATAACAGGTACTGCTTTATCTCAAATCAAGCAGGACACTGTTTCATCCCGAAACAAGAGCTGGTCCATCTCGTAACAAGTACTGCTTTATCTTAAAACAAGCGGGACACTGTTTCATCCCGAAACAAGAGCTGGTCCATCTCAGTAACAAGTACTGCTTTATCTTAAAACAAGCGGGACACCGTTTCATCACGATACAAGAGCTCACCTATCCTAGGTTGTCGCCTACCAAGACAATGAAACACCCGTCATGCATTCATTTTATAGCTTATAGTGGGCCTAACCTACTAAGCGACGACCACCTCTTACGCTGAAATGGAACTTCCCAGAGTGCATAGCCAGGGTAATATATATTAAAACAACAGGAAGTTGTTACAGTACATCTCAATTAAAGATAGTCTGACATCCTTCAGTGGCCTTGTTGGTTCAGTGGGAAACTCAACATTAACAATGAATAGTCTTACAGTCAGACAATGTGCCATAGCATACTGTATTCCCTCTAGTAAGCACTGGGTATGTTTTTTATAAATGTATTCTCCACTGATCCAAACATAGATTATTAAGAAATGATCCCTAACTTTCACTTACGCTCACTAACAATTAATTATGGTACACCCAGCAAGCAGAGTAAGTGCCAGGTCTCAAATAAGCACCTGGCCTGGAAGTCCATTGAAAAAATACATGCCCGGGTGCTTATTTGAGGAAATATGGTAAGCTCACCTGACCCATCACGGTCTGATAGACATGGAAGTTCTACAAGACTACTGATATCATGACTACTGAGATGGGACAATATCCTGGGGCCAGCTGAAAGACTTACCTCCTCTGTTTCCATCAGAGACTGCAGTGCTTCAGATGCTACTTTCCGTTTTGCTTCTTTCTTACTCCGACCATAAGCTTCAACCATATTTCTATCATGAAGTTTCACCTCTGCTCTGAAACTAGAAACATGTCAGAAATACATGATACAATAGTCTCAGAACCGAGTAAAAGGCTACAGATTTATGACTTAACCTAAAAAACAATTAGGTCATAGCTGTCTGTAAAATAAAGTTGGCACACACGGAAGTGATTACACTCAATCCAATCACAATCAGATCATAGTGCTTGCTACCACTACACAAGGGAACGAGGACATTAATAGTCACATAACAATGACCTTTCATCTGATCAAACAGTGCACTGACTACCAGGTCACAAAAATAAAAATCTGAATGTGTTTTCATCGTCTATATTCTGACTGCAATGGGCATCATTAGAACATGAACTGTAAAGTTCTGTGGATCCATGCATTAGTGGACTCATGAGAAGTGGCAGCTGTTGTTGTGCAGGGACTTCGCAAGAAGCCATCTCTAAGAACAGCACATTTGGTTGACTGAATCTGATTTGGGTTGGAGGTGACCCTGATGGTAGACTACAGCACATTGAGTTGACTGAATGATGGTAGACTACCACTGTGTATCAGCTGCCTACAGTTGGTGACAGTGCCAGAATACAGGACTGCAGACATATCATCATCTCCAGATCAGTGATGTGTATGACAGGCTGATATTAAATGTTTGAGATGGTGATGATAAGGAGGTAAGCTACTGACTTATGAAACGTCAATGAACTCTTGATGATCTCCACAAAAATGTAATTTTCTGACTAAAATTGATATTTTATACTTATCCTGACTCATGCTTAATTGCTTGTCTTCTTCCTCTTGCGAACTATAGTGGAACACTTGAATCCCCTTTTGAAGCTCCCTTAAAAAAAGTGGAAGTAAAATCACTCACCCCAGTTGCCTCCCTTGAAACCATCTTTGGCGCGAAAAGGTCACATGATTGGCCATGCTTGTTCACTCTCTCCGTTATTTCGAGCCCTCACACTTGGATTTGCAGGGAAATCCAGAGTGCCATGAGGGGAGGTTGGTAGGGCTAACCTCATGAGTCAGGATAAGTATAAAATATCAATTTTAGTCAGAAAATTACATATTTTTCCCTCATCCTGACTCATGCTTTATTGCTTGTAGAATCCGACGGAAACGGTGGTGGGTCAAGCCACTCTGGATTCTCTGCTGATTTACGTCCTTATACCCCCTTGGGAACTTCTAATGGCATTTGTCCTTTCTTCCAGCTTCCTCTGATGAATGTGGGGGACCACAGCTTGTCAGATTTATCCTGGAAATCTTCTCCTGACATTTTGTGGATTTTATACGACTCCATCTCTTGAAGAATGCATCAAGAGGAGAAGTGACCCTACTTCGTGTACAAGTAAGTCCTTACAAGTACCGGGTCTATCACTCATGCTAGCCTGTCCTAGACGTGCGCATGGACTCTAAAACCGTACTCTGTTGAGTGTTGGCTTTTACAAGTCACGTGACAAAAGGGTGATATTTATCTCAGCGCGCCTTTGAGGTACCGTCAATGGTTGTGCTACAACAAGCGGCCCAAACTGGTGTATGCCGGAGACGTCATCTGTAGCCATGTCTCTGAGGTAGTGGTTTGCAAACACCGTCTCCGATCTCCAGAAGCAGCCCTCCATTATTGTTGAGATGGAGCAGTTTCTGTGCAGAGCTAGCGTGGATGCCAGTGCTCTGACTTCATGAGGATTGGAGGCTCGTGGAGGATCAAGTCCTGCTGCATTATAGGCTCTCAATATGACGGCTCTCATCCATATTGATATGGTTGGTGTCTCCGTAGATAAAGGGATGAAAAGGTGCTTGAATTTTTGTCTCCTCAATTTAGACATCTGTAGATATATTTTCAATGCTCTGACTGGACATAAGGATCGGTCTTGCGTATCCTGTGGTCCTAATATCGACGAAAGTGCTGGGATATGGAATTGTCTGTCTGGTTGACCGGGCAGCTATAAAATCCCATCTTAGTCCCAGATGCACTGTGTCACGATGCGTGTCAAATCTTGTTCGTTCAAAGTCTAGAGCATGAATTTCTGACATCCTTGCCGCTGTAGCTAAGGCTACGAGGAACAGTGTTTTATGAGTTAATTTCTCATATGATGTCCTTTCTAGTGGTTCGTAATCTTCGCTGGTAAGATGTTGTAGAACCACATTGAGATCCCAAGCGGGCGCCTTGAATTTTCTTTGTTGGTCTTCCAGCTTGAATGAGCGTAGTAGTGCCAGTATCTCTGGTACTTTTGTCAGTTTTATACCCGTCTTCATCGTGATAAATGAGCTCAAGGCTGCTAGGTATGTAGAGAGTGTAGATCCCTTCCATCGTTTTGTCTGTCTAAGATGACTAAGGTATTCCGCCACTTGAGGATGTGTTGCTTCTATTGCAGTGAAGCCTTTATTCCGAGCGTATTTCTCAAAACTTTGCCACTTGTCATCATACAAGTTACGGGTTGATCTGCGTAAGGCTAAAGTTACTGCTTTGGCCGCTCTGGTGGAATATCCTCTTTTCCTCAAGCACGTCGTGATACGCTCCATGCGTGTAGTTGAAACATAGTTGGGTTTCTGTGTGCTTGCTTGGTGTGCGGATGAATCAGTAGATTTGGCCACTTTGGAAGTTGTAGGATTGGATTTCCTATATCTTGTATGAGGTTGGGGAACCACTCTCTCGCTTGCCAGTAAGGCGCGACCAAAATCAGTTGTAACTTGTTCGTCATTTTGATTTTCTGTAATACCTTTGGTATTAGTGCCGGTGGAGGGAACGCATATGCGTTTAGTCCTTCCCAAAATATGCTCAAGGCGTCCGTTGCCCATGCTTGAGGATCTGGGACCGGAGAGTAGAATGTTGGTAGTTGTTTGTTGAACTTGGTTGTGAACAAATCTACCAGTGGGGATCCTATTGTCCGAATGATGTCCTTGAATGCCTCTGGGTGTAGCATCCACTCCGTCGGTGACGGATTCATAGGACGGGATAGGGCGTCTGCTATCACATTTCTGGCTCCGGGAATGTGTGACGCTTTTATGTCGATGTTCAGGTTGTCTACTATGCTGAATAGTTGAAAGCTGAGGTCCAACATGCTTCTTGACCTTGTTGACCCTTGTTTGTTGATGTAGAACGCCACTGTGGAGTTGTCCGTATGGATCATCAGTTGAGCGTTCCTTAGTATGCTGGACCAGTGTAGTAAGGCGTTTATAACTGCTTTCAATTCTAGCATGTTGATGTATAGCTTTTGCTCCTGATTCGACCACTTTCCCGATGCCACTTTGTTGTTTAAGTGAGCTCCCCATCCTTGGTGGGACGCATCTGCGTAGAGATGAGTGTTGGATCCCGTCTCTACTAAGTAGGTTCCTGCGCAGACATTCGACTTCTGTGTCCACCATAATAGGTATGGTTTCAGTTCGTTCGGTAGGACCGAATGGATCCAGACTGCCTCTGCCTGTCTTAGCGCCGACGTGAGGAGACCGAGTAGACTCTGCCACTCTCGTGTAGTGGTAACGGAGAGAGTAGTGCTTGAGATACCATGGCTTGTATCTAGACCCAGCTATTCTTTGAGACGACAATGCGATTCTGCGGTGAGATGAACATCTTCCCAAAAATCTGCTCATATCCTACGTTGTAGGTACCCTTGCCATGTCCGTAATGGCAGCGAAGCAACATGTCCGGTTCTGGCAACATGACTTGAAGTTTATTTCTTCAATCTTCCGATAATATGTTAAAAGGGCTTTTCATCAGAATCGCCACAAGTGCAGTGATGATGCATAATTCGTCGTCTCTAGATGTACTGGAATTGCCATCGCTGTGAAGTCTATTTATAGTAGACTGGCTGCCTAGAGCAGAAATCATCAAACGTATTTTGCTGCAATTCGTCAGATTACCAATCTTCAAACTGCTGACAGGTAACGTCCTTATGACCCGTGAAGACGGTCAAATCACGCTGTACCCTGCTAACTGGACTGTAAATGGATCCTTCCTCCCACGTTGAAAAGTTGTTTACGATTGTAGATAACTTCCTGACACGTGAGCTGTGCCTGACTTCTGCACAGGGCGTTGTCTCTCATGGACCAATCAGATTGCAGCATTTGATTCATCTCAGATTCCCGCGATGTGACGTCACCGGTGTTGCAGGAAAAAGATCCTTGTAAAATCTTGTGCAGTCGTTGATTTCTCTCATCAACACTCGGCCTTGTCCGTAACTTTCCGGAATACCCGAGTGAACACGTGTATAGCAGGCTGAGTGGAATACCGATGTAGGTCAACTGTTTCCCTGGCTGTTGTGACTTTTCTCTTCTTCACTGAAGATAATACAGTCGTCATTTTATACAGATGATCAGCTGAAGTTTCATACTTGCTTAACGTTGATACTTGTAGACTGTAGTCATCAGTCTCAATGAAGCGCCTTAAAATAACCGATTGTGTTGAATACACAAAAGTTATTGTAGAGTTGCCATATTTCTTGTCTCTAGCTCTCTGAATCCCTGCAAATTTAGATTTGCCAGAGTAGCGCTGTGATGTCTGTCTGATAGTGCTGGCCAGTGTATCGATGGACTTGATCATCATAACTTCTCTGGACTCCTTCGTAACTTCTTTAGCCACGCCCTCAACTTCCTCTGCGAAGATATTCGTTGCTGCCCATGGAGCTCTGAATAGCGGTTTGGTGAACTTCTCACTCCATTTACAAGATGATAGTAGACCTTGTCTTCGTAGCAGTGTTAATCCCGCCGATGTAGACGCTAAATGTTCTGACATGAACTGTTGGTCTTTCTTTGGGTTAGTAAGGCTGAGTAGATCATCCGATCTTCTTCAGATGTAGAGTTTGCAAACTTCGCAATTAGGGTTTCGTTGATGGCCCTTGACCTGGCTAATCCGAAGAAGGTACGTCTAGTGGTTGTGTCTAGTTGCGCTAGCTTCTTGTCCTCCACTTTATAAGTCCTGATGCGAGCGTCATTGATGAGTTTATAGTTTTCATCTACTTCTGGGGCCTTCATGAATGGTTCCATATGATGTAGTGAAAATCTCTTAGCATTAAACGGTGGAATGCTTTGACTCTG